ACCTTCTCTCATCATGATTTAGAGTCTCACAGATGGGGGTTGCTCTGAGTCAGTATTTACTCACCTGAAATGGAGTTGGTTCTGTTTGGGGGGATTTGTTTTATTTTAATGGGACATAATAGAGCTTGAGGTCATATAAGTGGTGATTCTAGAGAATCGGATTTTTATGGATCTGAGCTAAAATTTAGTAATGAAACTAAGTCAGAGGAGTGTCATAGTTCTGTTACTTTTTGAAATTGAAAAAGCAAAGAAGGAGGGAGAGAAGGAGGAAGGGGAACAAGACAAACAGGAAGGGAGGGAGGGAAATAAAACAAATATTGTTGACATATTGAGGACAGTAACTTTAGTTATAATATTATTACCAGTTATCCTAACAAACCTGGTAAATAAAACAGTACAGCAAACACATGTTGTTGTTGTTGTTGTTAGGGGCCATTGGGTCGACTCTGGCTTAGCAACCTTAATGGCATAAAATCCTCTGCAGTCCTGTGCCATCCTCACTCTCTCAGTTGCACTGAAATTCATGTAATGGTCATTGTGTCAGCCCCTCTCTGTGAGAGTTTTCTTCTCCTTCTTTGTGTTCTACTTTTCCAAGCAACATTTCTTTTTCCAAGGACTATCTGGGTGCAAATATCTAAGATCTGTTCTTACTATTAGGGTTTTATAATTTAGTTCTGTGAGCCTTTATGTTATGGTCCATTACATACTGGGCTGCTGGAATTAGTTGTAAAACCTAATTGATGCCTTTGAGTTGTGGTGCTGGAAAGAGTATTGAACTGTGGACTGCCAGGAGGACAAACAGGTTTGTTCTGGAGAGGGTGAAACCAGGCTGCTCCCTAGAGGCAAGGATTTTGAGGATCCGTCTCACATACTTTGGGCACATTGCCAGGCAGACCAGTTTTTGGAGGGACATAATGCTTGGCAGAGTAGTGAAACAGCACAGGAGAGGGAGATACAATGGCTGGAGAAATGGGATTAACTCTGTTAGAGATGATGACATTGGTTCAGGATAGGATAGGTTTCAGAGGTAACATACATGGGGTCGCTATGAGTCACAAGCACCTAACAACAACCACCTAATTAACCTATATGAAGTGTCAGGGAAACAGAAAATATTGTATAGTTAGCAAACCCTCCCAGAGGAGGTACAACTTACTCTAGATCTTGAATGAGTGAAAACTTTAGCAAAGAAAGAGCCAAAAGATACTGAGTGAGAAAACAGCAAGGTCATAAGATCTTTGTTGAGGATAGGGAGGTATCATTTTGAGGAGAGGGAAGTGTTTTGAGAAGTTGGTTAACAAAGTCACAGAGGCAGCATGATGACAGTGGCAATAGGGATTTAGACTTGGATCCTCAGGATATACTCAATACTCAAACTCATTGCTGTCAACTTTGAACCAAATCATAGCTGACACGCCAGTAGATTTTCAGAGGCAAGAGAGAAGGCTGCTCATCTTATTAAAGATTTGTAAGCAAGATTCAGTGTTGAAGACTTGGCTGGAGCAGGTGATATTTTTTCTTGTAATCTTGAATATTCAATAGGCACTTCCCTTGTAAAACCTGTTGTTGTTGTTATGTGCTGTCGATCGCTTGCGACTCATAGCAACCCTATGTACAACAGCCCTAAACCCTGCTCTATCCAGTGCCAATCGCATTGCCTCTGACACATCCATCCTGATTACCCCAGTCACTGAATCAATCCACCTCATATAGGGTCTTCCCCTCCTGCACTGTCCCTCCACCCTGCCAAGCATGATGTCCCTCTCCAAGGACCTGTCTCTCCTTACAACATGTTCAAAGTATGTCAGACAAAGCCCCAGAATCCTTGCCTCCAAGGAGTAGCCTGGTTTAACCCTCTCTGGGATGGATCTGTTTGTTTTCTTGGCAGTCCATGGAACATTCAATACTCTTCTCCAACACCACAGCTCAAAGGCATCAATTCTCCTTCTCTCCTCCCTTAGTCATTGTCCAACTCTCTGATGCATAACAAGTGATTGCAAAGACCGTGGCCTGTATCAGGCGCACCTTAGTCTCCAGAGAGACACCGTTACTCTTAAGTACTTTAGAGAGGTCCCTAACAGCAGACTTTCCCATCGTGATACGCTTTTTGATTTCCTGACTGCTGGTGCCTAGAGTGTTGACTGTGGAGCCGAGCAAACTGAAGCTGTGAACAATCTCAATCTCTTCACCATCCATCCTGATGCTGCCAATTGGTCCAGTGGTGAGAATCTTTGTCTTCTTGACATTGAGCCTCAGTCCCTACTGAAGGCTGCAGTCCTTGACCCTCTGCAGCAAGTGCATGAGGTCCTCCTTGTAATGCCTGCATTTTAAAAGTGTATACCTGTATATATCCAGCCTTTATATAATAGGTGTGGAGTAGATGCTCATGATGAAAGACACATGAAAGGAAGAAAGTTTTGGTAACAGCATACCATCTGCATTGAAATGAAGAAAGCTGGGAGGTAGGGGCCATCTGAAAGGAGACTGTTCCAGAAATGATGGTGTGAAGGAAGATAGATGTGAAAGTTAGATATGACAACATTCTTAGGAAGTGTAATGAAAAGGAGAATAGGTTAAAAATGAATTAGAAATTGACAGGATTGGAAGATTTAGGAGAAAGAATTCTTTTCAAGGAGAAAGTTGAGAATTTTGGGTTTGGACAGATACTTGAAGCCATGACAGGATCCTCTTTTAGAAATAATTACCTGAATTGTTAGAAATGAATGCTTCTGACCCGAATTGATGGGTAAGGGGCTTAGGAGTTTGCCATTTTAACAAGCATAGGAGGTGATTCATGAAGCACTTAAGTCAGGTTGCAAACCACTACTGTGGTGGGGGAAGGCTTCTTGCTTCTAAAGAAGCCCCTAGGGCTGAATGATGGAAAGCCCTGACAGCAGATGTAGAAATTGTTGTGGGAATGAAAAGGAAGGATAGAGCTAGGATTGAAGATGTTTGAAAACCATAGTGGGATGCAGATAGAATCCCTTTTGGAAATCACTAGCTTCGAGAAGGTGACTGGACCATATGTAGGGACAGATTAGGTTTTTGCTAATGCCAGAGTTTTTATAATTAGCATAAAAGTACCATATAAACATTTCCCTCCTCTATAACTACCATCCTTTTAAGATCTGTGGAGTACCAAATAAAAGAAAAACTGCATTAGCTCCTATAAAATAATTCAAGAATTTATTACATATTTGAAGTTACTACACAAAATCTGTGATTTAAACTTAAGAGAACTTCAAAGTAACATGTATACATGTGAAAATTAGTCTACTTAACAAAAATTCATGGTATTCAAGCATACCAGATACCCTTCTAGGCTCCATAGAGGGTAGTTTTATCAGAAAAGTGAAGTAGATGTGTTTAAAGGCAGATTTTGTAAAATGATGAAGACAGAAGTCCAAAGTTCTCTGTCCAAGTAAGGATTTAGAGTAGGACTTCAGAAAGGAAGTATAGCTATCACCATCCAGTCAATATTCTGCAATTATTTATTGAGTTTCTTATTTGTGTCAGAGATGATTGTAAGCATGAAATTAGAGCTGTAGGTAAAACACACAAAACCCTACCTTATTTGACTTTACATTCTATTTAGAGAGAGAGAGAGAGACCCTCACAAACAATCACCACACAACAATATAAGTAAATTATGTAGTATGAGTGTTCCTTCGTGTAGAGCGCTCCATAGAGGTGACACTTCTTTCACATACTTTGGACTTGCTGTCAAGAGGGGCCAGTTTTTGGAGGTCATCATGCTTGGAAAAGTAGAGGGTCAGTGCAAGAGAGGAAGATTCTCAACAAAATGGATCGACAACAAGACTGATAGAAATGGTTACTACAGCAGCAGTGAGTTCAGAAGATTATGAGGATTGTGCGGGATCAGGCTGAGGTGTGTTTGAAAGTAGAGTCACTGAGTCAGAGGCTGTAAATCACATGGGAGATTGCCTATCTTTGTTCCTTGGAGCAGACCGTGGAGTTGAACCTGGCAGCACAGCTCTTTTCAACTAGGCCACCAGAGCTGTTTGTTAGCATATTCAATTACTCCATTGTTTAATAATAAGTTGGTGAATATTAACAGCTTAATCTTCAGTATTCTAATAACAGTATGAATGATTCTCCTTAGTTCTAAGCTGTCATGGGCACTTTTTGCTGAAACTATTTTGTGTTCTGTTTAGGCTTACTCATGGCAATGGGCGCTCGTGAGGTGCCTGTTTGGAGAGACCTTGTGATGGCTTTAAAATATCATGAAAAAAAATTGATCCTCTCCTGAAGCTCCATCTCTGACGATTAGTTATGGAAGGGTTGTTTGGCCCTGCGGCTAAATTCCCAGTCCACACTGATAGAATCAGGTGGTGATCTGAAAGTGTGTGTGTGTGTGTGTGTGTGTGTGAACTTCTGCTTCATCTCTCTCTAAATCACTCACTTCGCTTTTCACAATTGCTGAATATGTTTATTTACATACAATACATGATTGTAAATGAATGTGCACTGAAGTCAGCTGGACTAGGGAGGTGGGATTTTGGTTGTCCCTCTGCAGACCCAATAGTGGTGCACTGGGGTCTCTTACGATGTCTCAGGAAAAAATGCAGCCCTGAGCGAACCGGTCAGGTCGGAAGCTGCAAATGCCGAGTCCACATTGAGACCGGAGCCTGAGGGCGGTCCGCCGCGTGGGTCCCGCAGTCCCTCCCGCTGCGGAGGCAACGCCCACGGCGCCTGGCCCTCCTCCTCCGCAGCCCCAGCCCCGCCTTCTTACGCTCGGCCGGCCCCCTCCCTCCGCGCCGGCCCGCCCCCTCCTCCTCCCCGCCAGCGCTTGCAGGCTCCCTCTCTTCCCACTTCCCACACCGCCCTCGGTCGCTCCCTCCCCTCACGCCCGCCCAGCGAGGAATCGAGCGCGGAACGCATCGATAGCTCTGCCCTCTGCGGCCGTCCAGCCCCGAACTCATCGGTGTGCTCGAAGCTCGATTTCCCTAGGCGGCGCCGCGGCGGCGGAGGCAGCAGCGGCGGCGGTGGCGGCTGCTCGGCCAGTACTCCCGGCCCCCGCCATTTCGGTCTGGAAGCGAGCTCGGCGCCTGTACTGAAGGCGGTGGTGGGAGCCAGAGGCTCAGCGGCTCCCAGGTGCGGGAGAGAGGTACGGGGGAGACCACCCCTCTGGGCCCCTGCCCCGGTCCCGATCCTCTGCGCCGGCGCCGGGAGGGGCCGGCGGCTAGTGAATGAATTAGGGGTCCCGGGAGGGGGCGCCGGCGCGGAGCCTGGGCTCGCGGGGGGTGGTCTGCAGGGGAAGGCGCGGAGACGCGACGACGCGGGGAGTGAGGAATAGGCGGTGTGGGGCTGGAGAGGGTGAGGCTAGAGGCGGCCACCGCTTCTGCTGCTTCCTGGACGGGGAACCCCTTCCTTCCTCCTCCCGGAGAGCTGCGGCTGGAGGCGGCCGCGGAGAAACTCGCGGGCCAGGCCGGCTTGCCCCTCGGGGCGGTCGGGTGCGGTGGAGGTTACTCCCCTTGAATCCTAGCCGCCCTTCTCTCTCGCCCTTCCCTGCCTCCTTCCCTTTGCTCCCGCACCTTTTTCTCCCTTCCGCAGCACTCAGACTGCCTGGGTTTCTACCTTCTCTGCTGGGTGTAGCATCCCAAGGATGAAGGTATAAACTTCTCCCTCGAGCGAAGGCTAGATGGCTAATGGGCCTTTTCAGTGTGTAGGGGAATATAGGGGTAAGAATAGTGGTCACGTTTTGGAAGAGGATAGAAAAGTGCTTAGAGACCACTGTTTGAGATTTAGTGTTTGGAAAAAATGCATCTGCAGCCGAGTTCCTGACTGCTCCCCCTCCCCCATGTATGGGCTGTGACATTGCTGTGGCCACAAAGGAGGAGGTGGAGATAGAGATGGTGGTGGAAGAACAGGTGGCCAACACCCAACACGTAAAGAATGAGCCTGGGACCTGCAGTGAGAAGGAAAAAAGTTAATCCCAGAAGGTCTGTTTTTGCTTTATCAACTTAAAACACAAGCAGAAAACCCACAGAACATAAGCGAGGCCTTTTCCTTGCTATTTGAGTGATGCAGACAGCAGTAGCTGAAATAGTATTGAAGTTTAATTTGCTTGTTCTTGACCTTTTCCACATTTACTCTATACTTACCTTAATAATCACAAATGTATTGCCCATCTTAGAATTATTATTGTACTCTGTATAACAGCACTAATACCGGTTGTTTGCATGTTTCTTTTTTAAGTTGACTTAAAAGAAGAATAGATTCTAGCAGCAGACCAACTGAACTAACTGCCTGAACTACTCTTAGACGTGTGAGATCGTGCTCGCTTAAATTTTGAAAGCCTTTAGAATGAGGAATTTAAGAACAGAAATATGTTCAGTCTTTACACAGAACAAATAGTGCCTTTTTAATTTGAAAAATCACCTAAAATTACAAAGAGAAAAAAATTCTGATCATCCTATAGAAGCTATGGTAGTATAGTTATCTGATAGCTGAAAGGTAGGTAGTTTGAACCCACTAGCCGCTCCAGGGGAGAAAGATGAGCCAGTAAGCTGCCATAAAGATTTATGGCCTCAGAAACCCTGTGGGGCAGTTCTCCTTTGTCCTACAGAATGAACTCAGTGGTGTTGGGTTTTGGGTTTTTCTTTTTCTTTAAATCATGTGGCAGCCAGCTGTCACTTAGGTGATAAAGGTCCAAAATGCTGACTGGAACATGGGGCAGATTATAGAAAACATATATTGTTGATGTTAGTATATTTTTATGTTCTAGCCATATGCAGGCATACTTGTTTTAAAGGAGAGCAATATCAAAAAAAAAAAAAAAGAGAGCAATATCAATTGAGTTTTTGACAGAAGTGAAGTTTGTTTTTTATTTCATTTTTTTGCTCAGCAAAAACTTAGAGGTCTAGTTCTAGCCTCAACCCCTGTTAGCTTCTGTATGTTTGAGTGAGGGCGCTGTCCCTGGGGTGTGGTATTCAGTAAAGCTGCTTTAGAACTTATTTCTTTCTGTTGTTACATGCCCTGCAGTGGCAACCAGCTCATACATAGCTGACCCTCCAGCAGGTTTTCAGAGGCTATAAATGACAAGGAAGGAGATGGCTCATCTTTCTCCCAGTAAGCAGTTGATGGATTTGAACCACTTTGGGTTGACAGCTCAACTCCTTACCATCACACCACAAGTGCTCCATTTCTCTCTATGGGATTTAAATAATACTTGGTTATTATTTAAAAATTTCCCCTAAAGTAGCACTGCATGAACAAGTAGACTAGAAAGCTTATGTCTCTGAATTCAGATGTGTACTGCTAAGCTCTCAATCATTGTGTGTCTGCAGGTTTCTAGGCTGGCCGACTTTCAGGTTTTAGGACCTCTTTAAACTTAAAAATTATTGAAAACCCCCGAAAGCTTTGATTTGTGTGAGATGTATCACCCATTTCTCATAATAGAAATAAAAGCCAATAATTTAAAAAAAAAAATTCCTTAAAAAATAAGTTTACCAGAATACATGTAGCATAAATAAAATTATTTATTCAAATACAGTATTTTATGAGACAGATCACTATTTTCTAAAGCCCAAACAAAAATTAGTGAGAAGGGGTAGCGTTGTTTCACACGTTTGCAAATCTTTTTAAAGTTTGGGTTAATGGAAGACATCTGTATTCTCCTGTCTGCTTCTACATTCAATCTGTTGCAGTCACACAGCTGGAAAACTAGTGAAAGAATAGGAGTGAAAAGGGCAAGTAGCATCTCAGTATTATTATGAGAATGGTTTGACCTCTGGTTAAAAAAAAGTCTTAGGAACCTCCTATATGGTGCCTTGAGCGCACTTTAAGACCTGCTGTTTTAGGTTATTCAAACTCTTTTGGTGGAGATGTAGATGAAGGGAAGTGGAACAAGAAGATGCATCTTTCCAGTGATTTTTTCTTCTCTGTCCCACTTGGACATGTTATTAGGAAAGACCAATTGCTAGTGGAAGGCATCCATCATGTTTGATAGAGATTTCACCAAAAATGATACCTTCAATGAGATGAGTTTAATACAGTAACAACAACAGTGGACTTGATACAGCAGAAATTATCAAGATGGGGCAGCATTTTTTCTGTTAAACGCAAAGACACTAAGAGTCAGAGCTGAACTGATGGCAGCTAATAGCAACAACCTCATTTGCTATGTCTTACATTTGGAACCACATTGGTGGAAAGGAGTGTAAGATCCTGTTTGTAGGGACACTGGAGGTGGCTCTAGTCAAGAAGTAAATAGCAGAGGAGGAGCAGAGGTGGGGACTTAGCAACTGTAATACATTTTTGTGATACAACCATTGTCTAGCTTGTGGTACTCATTGTAAGGGGCCTAGCAGAGGAATGGTAAAGAGTATGTTTGGCAAGCTACATCATTTTTGTTATTACTCATGTCTGGATAATTCTTGCTCTCCATTAAATGGGATTCTGCATGGATATGGTGTTTATCTATACAATATGTTGTTGTTGTTAAAATGTGCCATCTAGCCGCTTGCAACTCACAGTGACCCTATGTCCATCAGTCCTGTATCAATCTTGCTGTCTCTGACACACTTACCTCCATTGCCCTGGTCATTATGTATACATTTGTTAATTTGAAACTATTCTGTAATAGACTTTTATATATAATCTTTTTTCACATTTTACTTATTTGTAATAATGTCATGGAATATTGACAGAAAGAAGATAGTACTAAATATATATTCCAGTTTTACTCTCATACCAGGTTTCATTTTCCGTCTTGTGCTTATTAACCTTACAAGTTGTCGGTGTTTATTTTACCTGTTGGGAGACATTGTTTAGAAGCAACGAGGAAACAGTTTGAAGATTATAGAGGATTAATTAAATATTTTAAAAATGCTCCTTTATTGAAAATAACCATTCCTATAGAACTATATATCATTTTGTGCAAATATGTTTTGTTATTCACCACTTTTAATAAATAATATAGGCTTACATTTTGTCATTGATGAGCAAATGTACTAAAGAGTTAGCCCAAAGTTCTCATTTTTAAGTCTTCCCCCCAGCACATATCTCACAGATTAAAATAAATTTCATCCCCTCTGTGCTTCAGTATCTAAACTTCATTTTCCTGCTACATAATTAAGCTTCCTCCCCAACCTGATTTTTGTTTTGTCTACAAAAGAACAACTAAGATGATGCTTTTTAAAAATTTAGGTGTTTCATTTTGTTTTTCAAATAGCTGTTAGTTCTAAAACACACTTGGTGTATCTGCTTCTAACTCTTTAAGGACCAGAGTCAGCTAGACATACTGCAGTAATAAGCATGAAAATTACTGTCAACAGGTTTTGTATGGGTGTGTCTACATGGTATGGAACACTGTACTGAGTGAAGTCATGATGTGGCCCTTTGAGTGCCATGGGCTGCTACAGAACTGCAGACTGGCTATTTGGATAGAAGAGAAAAGAATTCTCTCTGTGCTCTGAAAGTATTGTCCGCAAATGTTGGTGGGAAGTTTGTAAACAAAGTACAGTTCTTTACAATTCATGTACTTAGAAGTTTTCTTCATTGAATTTTGTAAGACATTTTAAAATAAGTTTCTATATAAAAGTACATCTAAGTTATTGGTAGAAGGTGGGTTCTGTTAACCTCATGTGTGACACATGTTCTAATTTAGTCACATTTTTGTTATTTTCATTATAAGGCCTGCTGAAAATGACTGAATATAAACTTGTGGTAGTTGGAGCTGGTGGCGTAGGCAAGAGTGCCTTGACGATACAGCTAATTCAGAATCACTTTGTGGATGAATATGATCCTACGATAGAGGTAAATCTTGTTTCAATATTATGGATATTGCTTTGTGCTGACACATCCTATAGGTACCAAAAGAAGGTTTATCTGATCACCTTTTGAGTATTCTTTATAGAACAGTTACACTGAAGGTAATTTTATTAAGGTAATTGAAATATAATTGGGTTCCAAAGGCTTTAACTTTGTGCTTACATGTAACTTAACTGTTAATTGGAGGGGAGGGGCCCTACTTCTGTCAGGAAAATTATCAAAGTCTGTGATATGTCCTTTGTCAGTATTTGTGTATTTTGCTTAGAAGTACATTCATTTGAGAGTTTTGAGAGAGGGTAAAATGTAAATTTACATCTTAATATGCATTTGTCTGTAAGTTAGTATTTATTTATGAATTTCTTGTTATTTTGACTTCACATTTAGACATTAGAATTGAAATACAATCCTTTGATGAGTGATTTCTTAAAAGTTTAAATAGTAATATTTTCCCTCAATGCTGGAAGTGTGGGAAATCTATAGCTACCTGATAATATTTTGTAAAGTTCATTCTTTGTCCAGAGCTATCCTTATCTTTTCAGTCCTTTATAAATTTACTGAAGGACTATTTTCATTACAGTTTCATTAATGAATAAGCTATTGGTGATTAGATTTTTAGTCCCAAGAAAGCTTACCAAATTAAAGGCCTATAGCACAATAGCAGGTGAGAAACCTTGAAAGGTCAGTAGTATGTTCAGATTATTGCAGCCAGAGAGGGATTTATTTAATCCCAAAGACATGCAGGAGGATGTTCCATAACTTGTCCTTGTTAACTCATATTCTGTATGTGATTTTTTGGATATTTTATGCATATGCATAATTTAATTTCCATGTTAAATTTAACATCACTGGAGGTGACAATAAGTGTTTCATTTCCTCTTTGAAATAGGCTTATTGTTAGATTATTTCTAAGCCTTTAAGTTAAACAGTTTGATCACTTAACTTTAGTTATATCAATTTAAAAATCAATTCTGAAAATTCTTCCAGAATTTTCTCCTAATCCCAAACTGTGGAATCTTGACAAATTGAATACCTTTTTAAGTGACTGTGCTGTGTTGATGGAACATTTTGCCTTGAGGTGGAATCTGAAGCTATTGGTAGTTTAAGGAAGGTGTTTATGAGAACTGAACAGATAACTGCTAGTAAGCAAATGGCCTTTTTTTTTTTCTTTCATTAAATGGTTGAAGAATGTTCATTTGCAATAATTAATGTAATTACAGATTTGGCTTCTAAATTTAAGGATTTGTAAAAGGTAGCAGCTTATATTGAAGTAGACAGCTTATGTGATAGTCTCTATATATTTACTATTAACAAATCATTTTAGTGCTGTACCAAAGTTTTTCCAGGGAACTCTGATTGTCTAGTGCTAAGGAGTTGCCCTGCCCACAGTTCTAAGCCACTAGCTTCTCCACAGGAAAAAGATGGCCAGTTTCTTGTGTAATTTTCAGCCGTAAACTCACTGGAGGGTCAGCTCTGAGTTGGTTCTGATTCAGTAACACATAACAAGCAACAACAATAGTTTTATTTTCTTTTTTCTCTCCCCGCTCCTTGGAAAAATGACGAGGTCATCCATTTCATTTCAGTCTATACTCCAAAAGTTAAGTTGACATAATTTATCGTTTAAATAATATATGAAAGGAAGTTTTAATAGAATTTGATCATCTTCTAAAGTCCCCGAAAAAAATGTCTTCTTAAGTATTGTTCAAAGTGTGCATGTTTTCCTGGGATTTTTAGAAGATGATTTTAGCATAAGTACACTCTGTCCTCTCCAAAAACCTTAATTAGTCTATTAAACTCTGATAGGTCATGATTGCTATATAAAATAGATTAGGAAATCTTTTGTTACAGTTGCTAAATTACAATATAAATCTTCATGGAATAGATCTAGTAGTTGAAGCTTTTACATTGGGGAATGTAGGAAAAGATTGTAAATGCAAACCCATAACTCTGAATATGATTCCTGCCAAATCAGGTGATTTAACTCTGGGAAACATTGATTTTTTGTGAACTTTGAGACTGACGTCTTCTCACTAGTTTAACCACCTGGGACAAGGTATCTTGCATTTGTTTCTTATCTCCCAAGTTATAGTTGAGTGCCTGAGGGAAAGGACAGTCCGAGTTAATGTAGTTTAGTTACAAGAAAGGCAAAAACATTTAATGCTTTATTTTATTACATAGTAGAGTAAGTGAAAATCTGGGCTTGATATTTTTGTGAACAGGTTTTTAGAAGGATAGAAGACTTCACTATTATTGAATAATGTAGGTTGGAGGGAGAGAGAGAGGACATGGACTTTGCACATTTGGAATCCTCATCAGTTTTCCTGTATTAAAACAAAGGAAAAGAAATGGTTTGGTGTTTTGTTTTTGTTTTTTAAAAGTTATTATTTTTTACCATATGTATAGATATTTTAGTGTTTACTGAATCTTAAACACTATGAGATAAAGAGAATGGACATTGTTTCATTTGGTAGATAAAATGTCCTTTAAGAGATTGTAACACTCTTGAAAAATCCCCCCAACCCCAAACTTATTAAATTGATTCCAAATAGCAAACTCACCTGTTAGGGTAGAACTGCCCCTGAGGGTTTCTAAGGCTGTAAATCTGTAAGAAAACATATTGCCACATTCTGCTCTTATGGAGCAGCTGGTGGGGGTGAACTGTGGCCTATTTTCAGTACTTGAATGCTTAACAACTGTGCTACTAGGATTCCTTAGAAATCACCTACTAAATCAGTAAGTGATAGAATTCTGTATCTAAGTCTTCTGGAAACAAGTGGAATTTCCACTGAAGGCTTGTATAATTTTAAAAAGTGAAAAATTATCTTTTAAGGGAAGAAAATATTTCTATCTGGAGACTAATTCAGACATCAGTATTCCAAAGTTTTAACTAGACTGTATCTGGTGGCATTTTAATGGCATAAAACAAAGCCTAAAATTATGATACAGAATTAGAAAGTCATGGCACATAATTGTACAGTGTGTTAATGTTGGAAGCTAAGCATATGATAATCTCCTTTGTTTCTATGATGAAAATTTTGTAGTTGTCTTTGATGAAGTTCATTAAAGAGTTCCAAAGAGAGTTTGTGGGAAAGGATTATTAAAAACTCAAATACTTGTTTTTAGAGTTTAGATAACACTAGTTATTAGCAAAATATGTTCTCTGAAATATTTTTCCCAAGGTAATATTTGGTGGAAGAAGAACAAACTTATCCTGAAAAATACTGGAAATTGTAGACATAGAATGATTAACTGACCAATTAGAAAATGTGTATTGAGACACTACTGTATAAAATAGGTTACTAAACGTAAATATGTTGTTGTGTGCTAGGGAAAAAAAACAAAACCAAAAACATTTTTTCTCAGGCTCTAATTCATTTATATCTGTATACATCTGTTACTGTGACATTTATAATTTAGTCCACGTATTAAGACCTTCTTTGATAAAGCAGTTTTTATACAGTAAGGAAGACTGTATTAATAATTGTACTGATTTAGTCTTTAGTCCTCTGAGCTGTATTTATTCATCAACATTTATCACTATCTTAATTTTTAAAATTTTTCTGTCTTAACTTACAGAATTCATTTTACATGTAGATAAGGTATTTAGATGGTAGAGTTTGTAATGCTAAACCATGTCATATGTAATATAAGCTCTTACTTTTCTGGTTATGTACATCCATATGTCAGTAATTCTCAGTAAGAGTCACTTGGGTGGATGCTTATTTTTCCCATCAGAAGACATTTGACAGTGTTAGGAAACATTGTTTGTTGGAAAAGAACACAACTTGGAAAAGAAGGCTATGAATGGCAGAGTGGGTAGAGTGCAAAAATGATTTTCAACATCTATAAAATGCAGGTTAATCCCTTCCCCCCAAACAATTATCTGACTCACAGGTCAGGAGTGCTGAGGTTAAAATACTAATATTTTTTATATATAGCATAAAACATCCCTAAAATTGTCATTTTAAGCCTCTGATTTAAAAAAAAATGTTAAACTTTACTAACATAACATATATTTAAACTGTAACTGCCCTTTGCAACCAAAAAAATCTGTTAGCTTGCTCCAATGTACTGTTAAAGTATGTACTTTTTAAAAATACAGTAGACAGGGCAATTTTGGTAATACATCTCTGCTCAGAGTTTCCCCCCTTTCAAGTGAGTGCCCAGTCCTTCCCCCCTGTTAAGTGAGTGCCCTCTACTGGTCAGTTTGTTTGTTTTTATATTAGTTAGCAGTGAAATTCTTATTTGGATTTTTTTATACTTAAAGTGTTACTGTTGTATACCATCTAGGTATACTCAATATATTAATATATATACATTTTTCTTAAAATACTCCTGTTTCATTTTATTAAATCTAAAATAGTCAATTTTGCCCTCTGATAATACTGATGTAAAGATTATTGTGCCTATGTAAATTTCCACTTATTGTTATGTGCCATTATCTGTGACTCATAGTGATCCTATTGACAGTACATCTGAACCTGGCTCTATCCTGTGCCAGCCTCACCATCTAAAATATACTTAAGCCATTGTTAAAGTCACCATGCCTATCCATCTTGTTGAGAGTCTCCCTCTCCTTTGTTGACCCTTTCCAAGCATGATGTCCCCTAACATCGTGCCCAAAGTAGATTAGATGACGCTTCACCATCCTTGCTTCTAAGGAGCACCATGTAGACTGTGGAGGTGCTATGGAGTCAAATTCAACTCATAAACTCTGTGAACAACAGATAATAAATGCTCTCCTATCCTGTGCCATCCTCAAAGTCTCGGACCTGCTCAAGTCATTGCTGTAGTCACTGTGTCAGTCCATCTAGTTGAGGGTCTTCTCATACCATCCACCTTTCCAAGCATGATGTTCCTCTCCAAGAAATAGACTCTCCTCACCACATGTCCAGAGTATGTGAGGCAAAGCTTTATCATCTTTGCCTCCAAAGAGCACTCTAGTGGCACCTTGTCCAGGACAGCTTCACTTTTCTTTAAGACATATC